CGCAGACATACCGCTGTACCACTGGGGGGGGGGGGGTAATAATTTAATAAAGTCATTATTTATTATCTATTGATAGCCCACTTTTTAACATTTAAGTAAAAAGAGCTATGTTATTATATCACAGCCGTTCACAATAATTTTTATAAAGTACTTTATGTATGTATGGGTTATATCACAATAATATTGCTCACACCTAGCGAAGTTAAATGATGCAGAATAAGTGCTTAAGTGATGTAAGTCTGAGATTACATTTTTAAACTCTATTTAGGAGGAGTTATATATATAAACAAGATTGGAAAGGTAATGGAAATAATGAATACAATGGATATAAATTGATAATATTATTCTATGAAAATTAACTGCGCCAGAGAACAGTTATCACCTATTGATAACTTACATAGTAACCGGCTATTATCCAACCAATGAGACAATGCCATAGAAGCGTAACACTTATAATAGTACAGAAATACATACTATTCGCAGGATTAGTGTAGTGAATTAATTCATAGCTCCCAGAACAAAATGCAATATGACAAACGTGTAGAAATCACAACTTTTAATGGTCAAGGATACTCCATGCGACACCGTGAGAGGAAATTTCATGTTTCGATAGAGAACTGTATGGAAACTATGAAGAGGGTACGTGAAACAACTTTTGTTAATAACAGAAGCGACCGAGGTAGAAAAAACAAACTATTCAAACAAGATATTAAGTAATTCGTGGTATGTTTTTTACTTAATACACCACAATCCAATTGAGATCTTGCAAGTTACCTAGCTTTAACTAGAGGTGTCAATACCATCTACAGAACAGCAAGGTACACATTAGCACAAAGTGGTCTCAATGGATGTGTAGCTGCTCAAAACCCATTGTTCAGCAGAGATAACCAAAGCAAAAGGCTGAAATGGGAGTTATACTTTACACAACGGAATGAGCAAATCTGTAGAAGAATGTCCTTTATAAATGAAGCCAAGTTCAAATCGTTTGGCAACAACCAATCATAGTTTGTTCGATGACATAGAGGAGAATAGTCAACAATACACTCTACAATGAAGTTCATGTAGGAACAATACATGTGAGATGCATCTCAACCAATGGCGTTGAAGATATACACAAGATTTACGGACACGTGATAGTTAATATTGGCATGCTGATTCTTATCTAACATCTCATTCCTTCAGGAAAAGGACCTGTTGGGCAGAGATTCATCTCACATAAAACACTGAGCCCATGAATGTACCAAATATGAAATCTCTAGAATTCAGCCAAGCTGTCTGGTTACCATTTGAGCTTCTCAGGTTTCACATAAGCCTTAATAATATTCATATCGACAAACCCTAGTTGGAAATGTTCCATCGCCCTATATAGTTTCCTTCCAGTTATCATTTAAAATTCAGGACGTCTGAACCTATATTTCACAATCACACATTGTTGAACTAATGGTAGCATAAAAGCAAGATGTACTGCTCTGGTTAAACTAAATAGAAAAATATTTACGCAATTTATTGACTTCTATTTTGTATTTTCTATAATAATGTATTGTGCTAACAATGAATCGACCACTTTCTTTCAATCGTTCATTGTGACTCCTGTATATGTATCACTTTTGCTTTTTCATAATTGAATCCAATATGACTCATTACATATACGTATGTGGCTAAGAGTTGTTTTAATATAAAGGAGAGAAAAATCGGACCAAATGAATACATTGTCAAATGTTGTATTTCGTGTATTAGATACTAAACGTTTTTACATGACATATTGATACTACAATTAATACTTATTTAAATCTTTAATAACTGACTTAGCGAAACAGAATATTTATTGAATGAAAATGGGAGTATTTAATTGCAACGCCACATTGATATTGTCAAAATGGTGCTTGGATTTGAGAACTATTGTTTCAGATTTAAAAAGTAAGGAAACAAATGTGAACATTTCAACACTTAGCCGACTGAGATCACTTTATAATTTAGTCGTGACTTCATAAGTGTGATTAAAATTTGGAATTTCAATATATATTTGTAAGAGTTACATTGCATTCCCATATAATTCTTTCTAACATTGGCTGTAAGAATATTTCCCTATTTTATATTAACAACGTGAATTAATAAAAGTTGGACTTTTGACTTGATAGTTACAAAGTTACATAATTCTGGAAACTACATACACTAAAGACAACATATTTAACTCGAAAAGAAACATTCACCAAACCATTGTACATTTTATCTTAGTTAAAGTCATTTTAAGCTGCCATCACTTTAAAAACATAATAAAAAACTGGACCGTAAAAAGCGTTTAGGAGTGTCAGTAAAAACAAATACGTATAAAGTATAGCAAGGAGAAAATAACATATAAGTTTAGAAAAAATATTATAACAAAATAACATTATTTAGATTGATAGACTTATCACCTCTTCATCTCCCTCAAGTCAGATTTCGAGACAATCTTTTATGTCTCGAGAAAAAAATTAATGAAAAATATTAAACATTACGTGGCTTTGATGTACTTGTTCATGTTAAAAACCAACATGCTAGGTTTATGATTATGGATGTGACTATAACCTCTGTTCGAAGGTTAAAACCAAAGCAAAGGCTTTCTACGTAGGAAAAGGCAATAGTAAACATCTTTCACTGTCTTGGTTTTAAATATTGTCATATTTTACATCTCTGTTTTGTATTGATATACAATGAAACCCAAATTATTATCTGTCCATTTTGTTTACATGTCAGTAATAACGACTAATGAAGTTTATTTCCTTTTCTTAGATGAAGCATCGCTTCTTAGAGAAATATTTACATATCTGTCTAATAATTTTCATGATTTTGTGTCAGGATTTACTTAAAACTCCTTACCTAGAACTATTAGGCGAGCTGTATTATCACTTCCTTTAGAATCACCTGTCAAACGGTTTTTTGTGAGACACCTAAAACTCTGATGTCCATCCTCTACAGTTACATGATTAACATGTAGCGTCCCCTCAGGAAAAATAATGTACTTGTTCTGGGAAACTGAAAATAACATCAGAAAATAAAAGCATGAAAGCATCTTACTCAAATTCTACCAAATTAAACTCTGGCCCATAATCTATTGGCTAAATTTAAATATATTTAAATTAAAGATGGTTATATTTACACGCTAAAGATGCTTCTAACACTGACCGAGGCACAGGCTCTTTTTCCTCCAATTAGGGAATTCTGTCGTTTGTCAGTGCGCAGTACAGGTACCGTGGCGCCGTCCCTAATTCTAAATCTCCGACCGCAAGGTGGCATCTGCTAATCAGCAATCTACTGCTACTTTTTATATATCGTATACAGTTATTCATTAATTTATTTCTACTTTAATTAATTATTATTATTTATCAATTGTAAATCAACTTCCAAATTTGAATAGAAAAGAAGTACTACTTTTTATACAAAGAAGTTGAGATCAAGACTGATAATCGCTGCTCGTTTGTTGAAGTTACTGGAGAGTTATTTGTGCAAGCCGTTCATAATTTTAAAGAGATAGACTAAAATTAGGGCACCTAGTCAATACCCTCTTCGCCAACTCTTGAACTAAGCTTTTACTAACGAATAGTGGGATTGACCGTTACATCTTGACGTCTCCACGGCTAAAAGGATGAGCATGTTCAGTGTCGAGATTCGAACCTGCGATCTGCAGGTTACAAGTCGAGTGCCCTAAACACCAAGTCATGACAACAATCGCTGCTCGGCACTACAGCAACAGGAAAAAAAGTGTAGGCCAAGTCTAGTATTAACAACTTGGTACATATTTGCACAAACTAAGCAAATGTTATTGCATTCTCAAAATAACTCGAAATTAATTAAAATATTTACAAGAATATTCAAATTTTGAACCAAGTTATTAAGAACAAAAGCTATAAAGGTTTAACTAAGTAAGCCAGGTGCTTTTTATCTTTCCAATATAACATAATTTCATTTAATGTAATATAATCTGACAGTGAATCTATAATAAGACAGTGAAGTTAAGTATTTTGCTTAACAGTTAAAAATTAGATTTATTAATTTACTCTCTAACATATCTGTTGTAACGTCGAAACATGTAGGGT